ACTACAGTACATATATATATATGTATATATATATATATATGTAAATATGTATGTATGTATGTATGTATGTATGTATTTATGTATGTATGTATGTATGTATGTATGTATGTATGTATGTATGTCTCTATATATAACAGCGACCCGGGCTCTCTCTCTCTCTCTCTCTGTTCAGATTCTTACGGCCGCTGTTTTGCACATGGGTTTCAGTTCCCCTCATGCAGGCAGTGTAACATGAGGGCCTTAATTATTGGAATCGGGTTTTACTTGGGGACTGTGAGGGGCTATCACTGCGATTCTAATCTTCAAGCCCCTATATAAGCCCGTGACATGCGGATACAGCTTGAGTGGCCTTCAAGTGAGATTTGAGGAACATGCAAGCGCGAACCCCCAGTGTTGATAAAGCTCTACATTCTAGATAAACTCCGAACCCCAAATGGGCCTTTTTTGAAACCAAACTTGTACCGTTCTAAACCGTGTTTTCACAAGGGACTCGACTGCTGCCCTTACTGCCCAGCTATTCTAAACCCTAAACCCTAAATTCCCGCTATATTTCCTTAACAACCATAGCCATAAACCCTAACCCTATACCCTTTTTTGCATCCAGGACTCTTGCAAGCAGCCGGGAAACTCCACCCTATACCCTAAACCCCGAAAGCCCTAAACCCGAAGCCCACCTGGGTCCAGTGGAAGACGATCTTCGGCAAGGCTGCCGTGAAGCCGCGGAGCTCGGCCAAGCGCCGGTGCCGGGCCACAAACTGTACCTTGACTTTTTTCCCTCTCCCTAAACTGTTGGGTTTGCATTCTCACAACTCGGACAGTCCAAGCGAGGTCTCAGTACTTTGGAGTTTAGGGTCCTTTAAAAGAAAAGGCATCTTGTTTTTTGTTTGAAGCGTCCACACCCCGCTTGAGGGAGCCGTTGGCGCGGCCCTCTTCCTCCCATGTGCCGAATCCTAAACCCCAACCCACGTAATTATTGTTCAGGGCTTTGGAGTCTTAGGCTTTTTTGGGGTTTAGGGTCCTTCCTTGAAGGGCGGGGCCAGACAGTGAAAGCTATTGGGGGATTGAGGGAGCGGCCATCTGCAATGCTTATTTCGAGCGCTACTCCGCACCCAGGAGCGGCGGGGTGAGTGGAGCTGGGTAGCAAGGAGTAAAAAATCAAGAATGCAGCTAGCACTCGTAGTCTAGCGCAGATAGAAACGAAAGATTCGCTAAATCCCAAACCCTTTGTTACCAATAGCTCCGCCCAGAGCCCGGCGCAAGCAGCACGTCTCTCTGCTTCTAGAAACACACCTCATAAGGCAGCCGTGCGATATCAGATGGTGAGGCTTTCAGCCTTAGGGCTAGAGTTTCGGGAATGGGCAGCGAAGTAGGCCAGGCGGCCAGAACTGCAATACAAGTATGCCATGTACCTATTCTTTCTACTTGTGGTGTGTGCGGGGTGCCAAAATTCCAACCCATGCCGGCGCCCCCTGAGAACTGACGAGTAGGACACCTCAAAACTCAAAATCCAGATGCCATGAGGTCGGGATAATAAGAGAGTGTTGAGCTTGAAAGACCAGCTGAATTGAAGGTTTAATCCGGATATGCAGTGTGAACAACCCTGGGCTTATTCAGAGCTCGGGTGCGATGGCCTCCTCGCGCAAAATGCTTCCTGCAACCAGGGGCGAAGGACAACAAAGCAGAACAATCCTCAACGCGCAGCTTGTCGCCCTCAATCCTCCAACTCAAGATCTTAAGACCCCGGGTCCCCGGTTCTGCAACCTCAGAGCTCAAAATGCCTTGCTCCGGCGTACCAGCAGGAGCTACGACTCCCGATGAGTTCAAGATCCTTAGGTAGTGGTGGTAAAGACGGAAGTCGTATGCAGGCATGGTCCTCGTAGCATGTGACGGACAATCGTTGTGGTGGTGGTAGTGGTCGTGGCAGTGGCAGT